CCTCTCTCTTCTCTGCCTATAATAAAACTTATATAATGGTGGTGCTGGTGAAAGTGTCCCTTTGACCATGAAGTGTGGTGGGGCTGAGTTCAGCACTGTGAGCAGGCGGCTGTTGATGATACAGTCAACACTTGGAAACTTGTTCATGCCTTTGAGCAAAGTGCTCCACTTAGGCTCATTAGCAGTATAACCACACGTTGCCCGTCCAGCCGCCTCTGCCAGGGAAACTTCCTGCTCTTTCAATGTCTTATCAATAGCTGCTGTGTCGAAAATGAACCCGGGGGATGGGAGCAGGGAGCCTGAGTCACAGCTGGCCATCCCCTCCTGACAGGACGGAGAAAAATGCCTTTCCTTCCATACTTTAGATGCCTGTTGCAGCATTGCTCCACTCTCAGCTTCAAGCATGTCCCTACGGAGCCAGATCATCTCAGCCAAAACCTCCGTGGCTTGCGGGAAGGTCAGCCTTGTCTGGGTGGGAGTGTGGCTGCAGCTCGCCAGGCTCCAGATGCTGCTGCTTCTCCTGCTCTCCAGAAATGGTGGCAGAGGAAGACCTCGGTATGCCGGAGAGGGCTGTTCGTGGTCCTCAAGCAAAGATGTTGGATGGTGTTAGGGGGCTGCTTGTGGGACACTTGCCCTGACTGCTGGCTGGTGCTTAGCCAGGCTGTAATCTGTTGGATGCAACTGGGAAATCTCCTGGTCCCTCTAGGCTGAGGGCAGCCTGTCCCAGGAGGTCTGCTCCAGCTCTACGCAATTGCATCAGCTGAGTCTTGTCTGGAGACATACCTTCTCATGGGACATCAGCTACTTCAAGCATGTTTCAGAGGTGTTCCCTGTATAATAGCATAAGTAAATGGGTCATGAAAAGACCAGAGGATACCCTTCACTGCCTGGTTCTTCCTGGGGCACTATTCCTCCAGTAAAACCTACCCAGGTCCCAGGCAAGGAAGGGCAGAGAAGAGCTTTGCAGCCATTCATAGTGGGGCCCTCCATGCCTGTTTCTCGTGTCTTCGTAGTCCCTAATCCATCTTCCACACACATTCCTGCAGAGAAAGCACTCATGTTTTGCTGCCCACAGAAACGAGCGTGTTTGGTAGCTCCTGGAGGGGATAGCTATTTCTGCTATGTGGCCCTTGACATGTCTTCCCGCTGCCTGGATCTGTCTGATTCCTGTAGCCAGTGAAGTTGTCTTCTTATCACTGCTTGCACATTGCTTCAGGATGTTTGTGTACATTGCTTTTTAATTTACTGGCCTCTGCTCATGGGACTCAGCTTCTCAAAGAGACACCAAGCATTAGACCCTGATGACCAGTGATGCTGGCTGCAGCAGCGAGGTTTAATGTTGTTTTACTCTTATCTTGCCCAGCAGCTTAAGCCATTATATGCTATTAATAGGTTAATATTTAAAGGGAATTTATCCCTGGATTAGCTGTATTTCCAGAAATGCATCCAGCCCAGAAATCTTTTACAGCTGGACAAGAAATTTATAATCCATTTTCATCTCTAACATACCCTGTCCCTGCTGAGACGTTTTTTTAATTCCCAGAGCAGTTAAGCGTGAATCTACCACAAGTTACTGAGTCTGCCCCAGTCCCTGCACTGCAGCACTCGCCCAGAGAAAATATACAACTCCTGGTAAGATGGTGGGAAATTTCTTCCCTTTTATCAGTAGCATTATAAACCTGTTGTGGAATATATGTAAGCTGGTCAAATGAGTGGGGTATGGTGAAAAACAATGGGTTTGTGGTTGAGGAGGAGGCAGAACCAAGAGTGTTCAGGATGACATAATCTCCCTGTTCCCCCTCTTGGCAGGAGGAAGAGGATTCCTCATTCCTAACTGAAACCACACTCATCTCCCTCTGACCAGCACTTGTTGTGAGTGGCTACAAGCCCAGGCTGGGATTCAGAGCAGCAGAAAGGATGGATCCCTTCCCAGTTCTCCACACGGCACTGCTGCCTGTTATCAGTCAAAGGAGATCCTCCATCAGCTGGGAGACGGAGGTGCATGCACAGGTCTCAGCAAACAGCAGTGGATCCGACCCTGTTGGCTGAAGATAAGAGCCATGAGCTTCTCAGCCCATGGGCAGGACTTGACAGCGTGCTGGAAAGTATTTTTGAGTGCAAAGATGCAGCTGCTAGCACCACTGCCCAAAGCAGGGGAGTTCTGCTTTGCTTTAATGGGTCCCAGTTCACTCCAGTGTAACAGCAGTTTGGCAAAATGCCTGCAGACAGACCAGCAGTGGCCCAAGTTTACTTGTGCATAACTGCTGAGAGGCGCTGCAGCCTGTGTGGAAATGGCTCGTCTGCTCACAATCCATAGCTGACAGTTACGATAACCTCTTTATGAGTTGCAGCCACTTCACTTCAGGGGCAAATGCACCCTCGTAAACTGCAGAGGAGCAGGGCACCGAGAGGCCAAACTAATATTAACCGCTGCGAGACTGCGCACAGGTCTCTGCCTGCTCTGGGGCTGATTTGCAGGTTTGTGGGCATTGCTAACAGCAGCCGATGGCAAGAGCCGTAAATATCCTGCACCCCTGCGTGCTGCTGGGGTGAGGGTGCCCACAGGTACAGCTGCAAGGGCATCTCAGTTCACCTTCTGCATCCACCCTAGCTTCTCTACCTTCCTCTTCTAGGCTAGGAGTTGTTCACAATAAAGTCTCTGTAACATTTGGATTCAAGTCTTGGTTCAACATTGCACAAAGACCATTTCCAGTATTCTCCCTGAGTCAGCAGATGTTCTGAATTTGGTGTGGAAATGTTACAGTTAAAGATAATTCATATGATTAATGATTAATGCTGCTGTCTGAACAATTACCTCATTCAGCCAGCTTTTCTTCTGGCTTTGCAAGAAAATATGCATGAACAATGAGGACAACATCCTCTTTCTGTATTACTGTATATATGAATCACATTTCTTCTAAAAAGAAGACAGCAACTTTATTTGAGAAAACAAATAACTGACAAGTTTCCACAGTGCTTGTGCACGCATGTTGTCTCCAACATTTATCCAGGACCACAGTCCCCCTGAAACCTGCTCTGCACCATTAGAGACTTGATGCTTGAGGAAAACCCTCCTCATGGAGAACGTGCATTGTTATATACATTGAAAAATCTAAAGTTTCAGGTGTAGATTATCTGAGCTGATAACCACGCACCTAATATCAAATTTCTGTAAGCAACTTCTAGACAAAAGCTCCCTTCAGCCAACTCGGTGATAAGGTTTCTTGCATATATGTGCATGCACATAAGGGGACATTGTTTTAAGGTCTTTTTGTGGAAAATATTCATTTATTAATGGAAACTAAAGTACTAATTATTTAAGCAAAAATTTTAAATGTTTATATTTTCAGCCAGTATTTTCAGGATTCAAGATTTCTTGTTTATGAACTATCAACATTTTCCATAGTTACCAGAATATGTAGACAAAATATGTTTCAGCAAAACCCAGTCTGGTATTCCAAGACGGCAATGTAGCAAATGTGATGCCAATCTTTTTAGAAAGCTTCCAAAACTGATGCAAGGAGCTGCTATCTGCAGAAATCTGACCTCTATAGAACAAAATTTGCTTTGGGCTATAGTAAACCACAGCCAGATGAGACAAATGTATATGTATACGTATGGTGGCGAAGTGCCAAGGCAGCTTTTGCAGAGCCCAGCCATGCCCCTGGAGTCCAAGAGGATTTTTCTGGTGGAGTTGGTGAGCACAAGGATATCAGCGATCTGGTTAAGGACCAGAAGGATGTCCTGCTATTGAGTGGCTGGGTGCTATTCAGGTGTAAGACATTAGATTTACTAATTGAAAGTGCCACACAGGAGGCACAACGGCCAGGCTGGGCTCAAAATCAGGTATTTACCATTTGAGAAAGAGAGCCCAGTCTTCAGTGCCAATCAGAAAGGTTTGTTAGGAATTGCCAGAAAAGGGTTTGAGATCAAAACAGAAAATATCCTTACACTGCTGAGTGCCTGGTTCGTTCCTAACACTTGTGGTTCTGGCTGCCCAGTTCAAAAACTTTAAAAAAAAAACCAAAAAAAATGACTGAGGAGGGTGAACAGGAGCATCTGGCATGAAAGGGGAACTAAACAGAGCTGGGCTCTCGACTCTGGGAAAGACAGGACTGAGGGAGAAGCAGGTAATAGAGGTACAAGAAGATTATGAATGCTATGGAGAAGGAAGGAGGTGGAAAGCAATTGTTCATTGCTTGCCAAAATACGGAAATTGGGGATACCTCCTGAAAAGGTAATACAGAAATTGGGCGCATCTCCTGAAAAGATGAGGCAGCGTGATTTCAATGAAGCAAATGGAGACGTTTTTCAGTTGAGCGAGGCTGTAAGAGTTATACTCCTTCTCTCAGGACTTACATCTTCAATTCAAGACTTTCTTCCCCCCAGCCCCCTGTTTTTTCCCCTTCATACAGACCCCCCCGCCCCTCCTGCCTGGCCGAAGGGCCGATGCTGCTCTTCCCCTCTCCTCCATCCGACCAGCCCCCGCGGTAAAGAGGACCCTGCTCTGCCCCCTATTACCTGACAGCCGCCAGCATCAGTCCCACGGGAAACACCCGCTCCGTCCCCACCGTCAACCCCCTCCCCACGCCCACCCGAGACCCTCCCCAGCCCGGGAGGGTGTCTCCCCGCCGCCGGCCCCTGCGCGGCGCCTTTAAGCCCCGTTGCGTGATGTCACTGCGACTGGGAGACACTGGGCGGCGGGGCTGCCGCTGGGAGCGTGGTCCGCTGGGGACCCCCTGCCCGCTGGGGACCCCCTTTTGCCCGGCGGGACCCCCTTTTTTGCCCGGCGAGAAGCCCTGTCCGCTGGGGTCCCCCTGCTCGCTGAGACTCCCCCCCCGCCAGGGACCCTCTACCCACTGAGACCCCCTTGGCCGGTGGGGACCCCTTGGCCGGTGGGGACCCCTTGGCCGGTGAACCCCCCTGCCCGGTGGGGACCCCCCCTTGCCCGGTGGGACCCCCCCTCGCCCCCGCCGTCGGGACGGGCTCGGCAGCGCAGCATGGGCAGCCTTCAGCTGCAGGACTTCGCGGCGGGCTGGGTGGGCGGTAAGTGGTGCCGTGGGCTCTGGGTGGGGGGGTGGGAGGGACAGGAGCGTGCGTGGGAATAAAATCCTCCCGTGTCACCTACGGTCTGTGCCTCCGCCCGGCGTGCTCGTACCACCAGTTTGATGCGCGGTTTGCTTTGCTTCGCTTTGACTCAGAACTGCGGTTTGATCCCATTTCCACGGGCGGGATGCTTAAAATTTAAGTATCGGGACTTGTGATGCTGCTGCCCTCCCAAGGAGGGGTGTGTGCGTGGGGGGGGGGCGGCTGCCAAAGCCACCCGGGCACGTCCCCCACACCCACCGGCTCTCTTTTCCTTGCTGGAACCCCCGCCGAGCTCGGGGGGGGAGCAGCCGGGGGCTCGCAACAACCAACCCGGGGTCCCCCCAGCACACACACCCCCGGGAGAGGCACGGTCTGGCTTTGCCCCCCCCCCCCCCATCCCACCAGGGCAAACAGGCTGATGGCTGGGGCAGCGGTGCTGGCAGAGAGGGGTATCGATCCGCTCTGCTGAAAATGCTGATTGCAAACACCGGGAAAATAGATAGCAGCAAGAAAAGGAAAAGTGAGGATGTGTGGAGGCGCCAGTAATGGAGGATGTCTTCCAGAACTGAGAGTTCCCACTGGGTTTAACAGCTGATAAGGTGCACAGCTAAGCTGTCCTGCTTCCCCTGGTGGGCTGCAGGAGCGGCAGGGCTGAGGGTCAAGCGTGGCACTGACGGCCGCAGACCAGGGCTCTGCCCGGGCTACTGCTCACGCCAGGCTTAGGAAGGGGGTATGAGACGGCTCATGGATCCTGACCAGCCAGATGAGGTTAATAGGTTAGCCAACTCTAAAAAAACCCAGAACGTCTGCCAAAAGGTTATGCGAGCAGCTGATTTTTGGATCTTTGCAGCCTGCAGAGGCTGCGTAGCGTGCAGTTGCTCTCTCTGCCCCTCTGACCCTGTGCTATTGCCACACACCCCCAGGAGTGGGACAGGATGTCCAAGGGGGTGAACAACCACCAGCACTCGGTGTTGGTGGCAGCGGACAGTTTTCATGCATAGCACTGGACCGCCGGTGGTCTCGGGTTAAGGTCCAGGAGGAGAGGGGACGTTTTATAATATGTTTTTGAGTAAAGTCATAATGTGTTGACCAAAGACATGATGCTATTTTCAGTCCTAATCCACTACAAGCGGGAAATTTCATGTAGTCCCTAAAGCACTTGGGGACAACGGTTTGCACAGAGACTTGCAAATGGGGAAGCAGCACAAATTACCCACCATCTCTACAAACACCCTAAAAACTGCTGGTGTTGTTTGCAACAAGCACACAAACCCATATCCTGGCCGTGGCACGTGGGTTGCTCTGTCCTCCCGGAGAAGGGGGAAACCAAGCTGTGCTCTGCCCTGCCACGGGGGCTCCTTTCTGGCAGTGAGCGGCACGAGTAGGTGGGCAGGATGGTAAGGGGGAATGGGCCAGTTTCTCCCAGAGAACCATGGGGAATGAGGCTGGATGGGACTGTAGGGATCATTACAGAGCAGGATCCTCTTTACCTGAATCATCTCTGACAGGTATCTCTATAAACTGCTCTTAAAACGGCAAAGGATGGGCGTTCACAGTCCCTGTCAGCAGTCAGCTCTAGAGCATCTCTATCTAAGGAAGGAAAATGCATTTCCTCGTGTCTAACCTAAATCTCACCATTTTGAGGCTAAAAATTTGCATGAGCCTACAAAAGTGCGAGATGGGTTGTTCGTAGACAAGACGTACAAATACAACACCTCCTCCTCTTGCACAGATGCCTTTGAGATGTAAAGTTGACGGAGTCCAGGAGAGTATTCAAGGCAAAATGTGCAAGTGTTTCTGCCCAGCTTTTACCTGTCGTCAGAGACGGGGCACTGTGCTGGGGATTGCTCTGGCTTGGCCCAATACAACTGTTCCTATGGAAATCTCTCCTCCTCCCCTATAAACCCATTGCTTCCTGTCCCATCACAGAACCTTCTTCAATGTTTTGCGTAATACTTTGCTTTCATCCCCAGGAGCCGCCAGCGTGGTTGTGGGCCACCCCCTGGACACAATCAAGGTAAACCACTTTTGAACCGTGCTCTCACATCACCACCCAAAACCCCACTGATGGGAAGGTGGACTCTCTCTAGATGACACTTCAAAAGCCCTTCACTTCCCCTGTCACCCCAAGGAGGAATTTAGCCTAAGGAGAAATGTTTTCATAGACTTTCTTCCTCTCCAATGCTCATTTTGAACAAGAAACTAAAAGAACTGGCTGATACATGCGAGTTCCTCTAGTGAGGATTAATGCTGAAAAATTAAATCTGGCCTTACTTAGTGTGTGGTTTACCTAACAGTTTACCAAACAGTTCTGCCAATGTTTTATTGAACTTTGCCACAGACAAGTATTCAAAGGGCAACAGGGGAACTATATTTGTTTTGCTGCAGGCGCATTTTTATGTTTTTTCCTAGTGTTGGCAAAGCTGGAAGGGCAGAGTGCTGAGATTTTATCCCAGGGCTATGAGATGCAGTATTTACTATTCCTGCAAGACAGTTATTCCTCAGAGGGAAGGATTTAGAGATATCAGAAGATATTTGCCAGCACGATGCAGACAAGCCCATGCACACACCAATACAGCCTGGCCCGACCAAGTTTACTGTCCGTCCTGATGCAGAAATATAGAAGATGATCCTGTTCCTTTCTCTTCTTGTACAGTGCGATAGGCATCTCTGGCCAGCTTTCATTGCTTCAGCTGCTCTGCCCACATGCTCTGATCTGGTTCAAGCCTTGTTCCTGGCACCAGGCAGGGCTGTCGGATGTGGCAAACCCAAGAGCCAGTGGTCCTGTTTGCACCTTAGAGACCCTTGGAGGGCAATGGGGAGGAGGCAGGGTCCAGCACAGCCCACGCCACATCCCTTCCCCAGCCACCGCAGCCATCCCCTTGCACGACAGCCGCCTGTCCTGGGATCAGGAGATGGCCTGCCAGCCCTATCCTTTCTGAGCTGCTAAGGTGATATCAGCCCCAGGAGCATCACTGCAGGAGGATGGGTGCAGACCCCGTGCTGGAGGAGCCGCACGGCTGCCCACACCATCCCAGCGATGGGTAGGGCCAGGGCACGGGCAGCGCAGGCAGGCTCTGCCCAGCGTTGCCAAGGCAATCCTCATCTCAGGCTGGCCATCAGGGCATCGCTGCCAGGTTTGGGGGAGTTTGGCAACAACTGAGAGAGGATCCTGCTGGGAAACATCGAGTTTCTGGATGCCAAGAAAGAGCGAGCCCATCCTTCAGTGCCTATAAAGACAACTGTCAGGCTGACCCCTCTGTTGTCCTTGGCTTTGGACGTCGCCTGGGAATACCAAGTAGGCAGACTTGTTATCTTTCCAAATTTAGGGGAAGGGAAGTGGAAAGGAGAGTTTTTACATGGCACTAAGCCAGCAAAGGGGCAGCTCAGCGGCATTCACAGCCTCCGGGGATGGGAGGTCCTTCCCCACCTGGAGGAGGGGACAGGACTGAACGAAAGGTTGGGTGGGGTATGTGGTATCCACACCACGGTTCCCACCAAGCAGGTCTCCTTCAGCTGGCCCCTTCCCAGCGTCGCAGCTTCCATCAAACCCAAGCAGCTGATTTTTTCCACGGCCTTGCAGAACTCTAAATGGTTTTACATTTACTCACTTTTCATCTTCCACATTGCATTCATTTCCCCAGAACTTTCTTCAGTTTCTGGGTGTCACCCAAGAGCCCTATCTAATCAAAATGTAACAAAACCGAGAATTTTCCTGAGGAATATCCATACTGGTGTCAGTTGACTTTGACAGAGATGCCAGCAGGGGTTTCAGTGCTGGCTGTTAACAGCTTATCTAAGGGGCACATGTGTGAGAAGCAGTTTGTGAGGACACTCGGTTGCCCTCAGTTATTCAAAAAATGTATTAACTTGAACCTCTAAATACCTGGTTACTGTGTAAAAGAAAAAAAAAGCCTATGGAGGCCAAACGGAAACATCTGGGCTAAGCGTGCAAATGAAGCCAGGAAGGAATGCGGGACTGCGCACCGTGGTCGCCCTGTCCTGGGCTGCTCGGGCTGCAGCCACCCTCCCCACCAGTCCCCCCCTGGCCCCGTTACCCCCAGCGTGAGTCATGGCATGCACCAGTCTGCACCCACGGCCCGGGCCTGCCTGCGTTGCACAACGCGTGCTGCATAAGCTGTAGCCAGCATCTTCACGTACCAGCTTGTTTCTAAGGGCTCAGTACATATTCTGCTTTTGCTGCCGCCTTCTCCGTGGCCTCCGGCCAGGAGCGGAGCGGCAGTGCTCGGTGCATGCAGACGGCTGCACGGAGCAGCCCTGGGGGTGAGGGGTTGAGCCCGGGTTTCAGTCCTTCCCGTCAGGGTCCCACCACGGCATCCCACTGGCCAGCCTCTTGCAGGGCGCTGGGCCAAATGATTGGGTCATTCAACCTGCTATTTGCTGTACAAAAGCTCTCCCCAGGCACAAACTCTGGAGGTCACACACTCCTTTGGGCTTAAAATTCCCAAATAAAATTCCTGCTTCACCCTGGTGTAAGTCGGGGCTGAGCCACCGGAGGGGACTGGGCACTGTCCCTCCAGCGCAGGTTGGCACTGTCCCCTCCAAGCTTCATTTCGTCATTCCTGCTAGCAGCATTGCTGATGGGTATGACCAGAAATGCTGTCCCCATTCCCTAAAAACATCCCCGACAGACCACGTGTGAGTGTCTTCCTACAAAAAATGAGCTCTGGCCTCAGCCAAGATCAGCCCCAGGTCCTGCGAACTGAATGGGGTTTCCGTTTCCTCACACACCTCTAAGCCCAAACAAAAAAATGCATCCCTTGTTAGGATGTTTTTACTGCAAACTTGTGAGCAGCTTGAACGAAAGATGATCTAAATATATGTGGGGGTATATAAATATATGTGAGAAGGGGAAAGTATGTTGACTCATACAGGCTTTGTCGTGACTTAAACGCCATTTCTTACAGCTGTTGTAGGCATTTTTTGGAAGGCATATAACTATTGCTTTCCAGAAACAAAACGTCTTTGTTGGAAATGATGTAAAAATGGATTTTTGAGCAAAGCATGGAGAATTTCTGAGATGGAGCTGAATGATTTTGGCTCCGTTTAGTATTTCTATGTCTTAGAATCCACCTTGGATCAGAAGGGCCCTGGAAGCCTCCCAGGGGATCTCTCCTTTCCATCCTTCAGCAACGCATCCCAACCTCCACTGTGAGTCCCCAAACGGAGGAGACCACATGACTCTCCAATTTCCACATAAATCATGAACTTGCTAATGATAGCACCACACACCAGCAGTCTGCTGTGCCGGGCCAGGGTAGCTGGTCTGGTCTCGAGAACAATCTGACAGTCATCGATTCCAGATGTTGCAGAAAGCTTCAGACCTCTGAGGTCCCGTTTAGCCCTGCTTCTGGCAAAGATCAAGGGGGGGTGGGTGCATATATATCTTATTTTATTGCTCTGTTTTCTTTAGAACTAAGGAAAGATTCGCTCTCAAAGCAAAATACACATTGTTTACATAGCATGAGCTTTCACTGGGCTGGAAGCATGGGATTTTAACTGCATTTCATGAATGTATTTTGCAGACTCGTTTGCAAGCTGGACAAGGGTATGGAAATACACTCAACTGCGTTCTCACTGTGTACAGAAATGAGTCTGTAAGTACTTTACCTTACTTAAAATGTGCTGGTAGAAAATGCAAATAGATAAATAGATAAATTCATAAAGCAATTATACAGAATCACTGTTGACACCAGCAGTTATATGAAGACCAATAAAGTCGGTGCAATTGGGCCTGCAAATCCCTACAGCCTTCTCTTGCTTAACTCTAAGGTAACTCTCTTGGCTACTCCTATAGGGAAAAGACATATCCCTGGCACGGAGTGATAAATAACACTGCCACATGGGTCAGGGTGTTACATCCGCAGTGCCTCTTTTGCCCGTACCTGCTGGCAAAGCTCTACTGGAGGTATTTTGCTGACTTTGGTGATTCCAGGACAGAAGCTGGCCATAAGAGGGACTTTTATGTGGGTTCCTGTGCTTTCAGCATATCCTGCACAATCTTTGCAAGTCTTTAGCAGTATGAATTAATTTTAATTTGCTCAGCATGTGCAAACGGTTGGTTCCAGGAGACATCTGGTACTTGGATTCGCATTTCTGGCCTGACAGACAAGTTGGGGTTTACGCTGCTCAGTCCCGTTCGCTCTCTTAACTCCTGCTCCCTTCCCCGGGTAGGTGGCTGGCTTCTTCAAAGGCATGTCCTTCCCGCTGGCCAGCATCGCCGTCTACAGCTCCGTGGTGTTCGGTGTCTTCAGCAACACGCAACGGCTCCTCAGCCAGCTCCGCCACGGAGACCCATCTTGCACGCCGGAGCTCGCAGACATGGCTCTAGCCAGCACGGTGGCAGGGTTCGTCTCCGTGGCCATCGGCACTCCTGTCGACCTGGTAAAGATAAGGCTACAGATGCAAACACAGCCGTATACTGAAGGTAGGAAGCAAGAGTTTCTCCCTCATTTCTCTCCCAGTTCTTGGTGTTTACTGAGAGCTTTAGGACAACTTTGCTTCGAGGCCCGGCTCTCTGCTGCCTTGGGCCACTGCAATTGAGCTGAAAATGCTTCCTTCTGCCTCAGGATGGACCCCATCCTGCTCAGCTTAAGGGGAGGGTGTTTATCAATGACATTGAACAGATCTCCACCGTCCTTTCCAGCTGATTGGGTTCTGTAATGAACACAGGGACAGGTCTGTTCAGGACCAGGAGCTGTGGGAGCCACCTTCCCCACACGGCCGTGGGGCAGGAACAGCGAGTCCGCGGGCTAGTGAGTCCCCGGGCTGTCGGATCCCCTGGAGATCCCACCAGCGACACCACGGCTGCCAGTGGTAACGCCAGCTCCCCATCTCCCGTTGCACACTCTCAGTCCCACATATATTTGCCCATAAACCCCTCTCTGTTATTCTACCCTCCTCTGTTCAAAAGCTGAAATTACACATGCCCATTTTTGAAAACCGCTGGTTTATTTGCAGCAGGGTTACAGGTACCCAGGCGCAGGTAAGACGGGTCAGGAGGGGACACAGGCAGGATGGCAGTGGGCAGCTGTAACCTCTCCAGAACCTGCAGAAAGGAGCTGCTTCTGCTCGAGATGGCAGCTGAATTTCATTGCAGGCTGCCAGCATGGAGCAAACCCCACAGGAGGATACGCATAGCTGAAGGATGAGACGGCACAGCTTCAGATCTGAACAGCTTGGATTTCAGCAGTTTCAGAAACACCTTTCTCATGATTACAGTTGTGGTGTTTAACTCTGAAATACTGACATTTTTGTATTGCTTTGATAAAATAATAGTATGTCCATTTTTAAAAGCCTCCATGCAGTTTAGGAACCTAATGCCCTTTCCAAAAGCAACTTGGTCTACATGGCAAGGGCCGGTCTCTGAAGATTTCGAGGCTTTCAGAGATGCAGCTTGGCACCAGAGGCAGTTAAAATCCATGAAAATTGGGCACATAGCCTTAAACTAATTTGGAAATCTCACTGGGCACATACTTATTGGGAGGCATGCAATGCATTTAAGAAAAATCTGTCCTGAAGTATCTAAATATCTTTCAAAAATGGACCTAAGTCCTCTTTCTTAAAACTTTTTTTCCCACGCTACATATTGATCCCAGCAAAAGAAAATGGATGGCAGTGATTTCTGTTCAATGGCGGTGGGATTTTGAGAGGAGTTCTGCAGCAATATGTCTATTATAACGGTTGTATCTTTTTTTTTTGCAGCAAACATTAAACTAAAGTCCACAGTTCCTGGATTTCCTGTGTACCGAGGCCCAATTCACTGCTTTAGGACAGTCCTACAGAAAGAGGGGATAGCAGGAATATACCGAGGCGCGGGCGCAATGCTTCTGAGGGATGTTCCTGGGTACTGCTTCTATTTCATCCCTTACACATTTTTCTGTGGTTGGATTACGCCTGATGGATGCATTTCGCCTAATCCCTCCTCCATCTGGCTGGCAGGGGGTGTAGCAGGTAAGCACCTTTTTTTCCGACAACACTGGAAAACAAGGATGGGAAGGTTCCCAGGGCAGATTACGGGGTGGCTCAGGGGCCACCACCTCCTCCTGGTCACCAGGAAAGGACATGGGGCTGAACGACCTTTCTCCCCCATGACCAAGTTCCCTAGCACCACGACTGCACTTTATGACTTGCCAAACTTTATGGAAGTCACGTTATCAGACCTTCATCGGGCTCAATGTCAGCAAGAAGGAAAACACCCAGTGCCTTCATCTCCCTGGATGTCTCACAGCAGCCTGCGTATCACATTGCCAGCAATACGCGGCAGCCAAGATGCCTCCAGAAGAGGACTTCAACCTGTTGGCTGCCCACCAGGAGGGTGTGCACCCTACCCATGCGCAGCAGAAGCAGAGTTGACTGTTACTGATCATCTTCTTTTTTTTTCCCCCGTGTACACCTGCCAGTAAGACTGGCATGTGCATCCCCCACCATGCTTACCTGTGTAAGGTCATCCCTACACCCGCTCCCCATTTCTTGGCCATTTCTAAATTGCAGACCCCTAAATGCAGATCAATCCTTAGCTCAGGTAATGATTACAAAATGCTGTCTCCATTTCTCCTGCAAATGGACAGAGCCCTGGCCCATCTGGACAGCTTCTCTAGTATGCCCCCACACTCACATAGTTCCAAACAAACTCTTGTCTGTCCAACTGGGACATGCTGACCTTTTCAGAGAAGCAAAACATCCCACTCGGCAGCAGGGTAATCAATGTAAATAGCTGGCTTCATTATTGGAATGATGATGTATCTCAGCTGTGTGGAGCCTCATCCTGTTTGCATAAGAAGAACCTGCCTCTTATTTGCATTCTCAGCTCAAACTTTGCTTTTCAACAGTATTATCCGAGAACTCCAGTTTTCCTGAAATCACCCCAAGTGGCAGCTGCCTGCAGCTCGGGTTCTCCTCACAGCATGTTCATGCCCCACCAGAAGCATGGCAGAAGATGTATTTGCACCTGGGGAAGGACCTCCTGGGCTGCCTGCATTTGACTACCAGTGTAACCCCCAAAATCTCAATGCTTCTTCAGAAACAGGGAACTTTGCTCCCAGAAATACCATTGCTGTACCTGAGTAGGGCGAATGCCCTGAAACGAAAATCCCATGAGTATGATGCAGTAGATGAGAGGTGAATTTCTGAGTTCACTGACCTGCGGCCAAGGAAATATAGCGAAGAAATTGTTCAAATACTTCTGCATTTTTCTAGGAGCCATTTCCTGGGGGATTGCTACTCCAATGGATGTTGTGAAAACTCGACTTCAGGCAGATGGAGTTTATTTAAACAAGTACAAAGGGACCCTTGACTGTATCTTGCAGAGCTACCAGAATGAGGGCTTAAAAGTAAGTGATATTTAAAGTAAAATCTGGGTATTAGACATTTAATTTTCAATTGGGAAATATAATGGCTGTTACAAACCTATCTGCAGGATTGAGAGACAGCTAAAGCCAATTACTGCTAAATTATAATAATGACAGTAGGTAATTACAGGGCAGATTCTTTCTAAATCATAATAGTGAGAGTAATAATGTGCTTTACAGCAATGAAAAAATGAATGACTGGGGGTCACAGTCTGCTGGTGTAATTAACTGAAAATAACACTTCATGTCAGTGCATTTAATTGTGAACATGATTTGACTTATTATAAATCAGAGGTAGAAAATCTTGCTTCTGTGATTACCTCTACAAAATGCAGAGCTCAAATATTTCCCATTGACACCAAAGTCAGTGGGAACTGATTCCAGTGGGACTGTGCTGGCACCCCGGGTGCGCTTGGTTGCCTTGGGCAATGCTTTGATGGAACTGATGCTGCGTTTTGCACTGCCCATCCTCATTTTGCACTAAGATAGAGTTGATTGACAATGTTCTTAAATCAGAATTGCTTTGGTTTCAAACATGAAGAAGGGCTGCGTGCCAAAAAGCCCTTATCTCCTTTTTCTGACTTTGTCTATTAGTGTAATAAAAGATGTTTGTTCTACCTGCAAACTTTGCCTCAGTTAAATGTGAATGGCAGAGAACCAGGGTTTGCAGCTTTATTGCACTGCCAATACATGGTTATGAAAAGCAACATCTTCTGATATTGAAATAAATCTGTATTTAAGTTGTCATCAAAACATCATGTGGGCTCTTAGCTCCAAAGTGTTAATTTTCACATTCTGAGGGAAAATAACAAGTCGCAAAAAGAAAAATAACCTGCAAAATCACAACTCAGTGTGATTTAAGTATTTGCCAACATGCCACTATGTTATGCCAGCCGTCACAGGACCCTGCAGTCTGGTTCGTTTTTTGCCATTGAGTGAAGAAAGTCACAGTCCTAGGAAGCACAGGCACCTGGAGAGATGCTAAAGACCACACTTGGATGGTCAGAGGAGGGTCAGGGTGCCCCAGGCTCTACGCAGGCTCCCTGCCCTGCATGTTCAGTTTGGCATGCAGTTTCACACTAAAACATAGGGTAGCTGAAAAGGGAATTTCCGTGTGTTTTCCCTTCTCTCTCCATCCTCATCCTCACTCCCCACCCTCCTTGTCCTGCCTGAATATTCACAACTAATTCAGGCACTTAGGTTTTTTTGTTTGAGGTTGAGCTGCTTGCAGTTTTTCTGCTATCATGCCTGGCACACGGACCAAAGCCAGCAATAGGGTTGAGTAATAGTTGATAAGACTAGATCCTTCTCTCATAAGGAAAATCTTTTTATATGTTGGGAGACACACAACTGGTAAATAGCAAACCAAGGTCTGGATGTTTTCATTCTGGGACAAAGGAACAAAATTTGCAGTGCTGAAAATAACTGCCTGATGTACACAAAAAAAATGTAAATATAGCCCTCTTCTTTCTCCATAGTCGGGTGTGTTCATTCTGATGAGAAAAATTTTTGCTTCTGTGCTTTTCTTCATAAATTTTCATTATTATTTAACCTGGCACTCTAGTGTAACTTTATGGATGCTGCAAAAGTTTGAATTTCCTCCCAGAAAATTCTATCTTTCCTAACAAAATAAAACACCTCAATAAATTGAGTAATATCCTAAATATCCCAATATTGCAATTTTATGTTGCAAACTCCATCCTAAACTATGTGAACATATTTTGATTCTATCTCATACAAGTCAGCACCATGCACTGGATTTATTGGACACAAGATACGGTGCTGTTTAGCAGAGCTCAGTATTTCAGGGGAAATCCTGGTTAGACACTTAAATCTATGGGCTTCTGGTCTTGGAGACAAGATCTTCCATGCTTTCTTACAGTAGCCGTGGGAGCTTTGCCTTTGTAAAGCTTACAAGGGGGCTTGCTTTGCTGATGTTAGTTTTCATGTCTATTCTGAACTTCTGGTGTTTAGATTAGAGACCACAGTGATTAGCCTGGGTGGTTAATGGAGCGATTTTGTGAGAAACAGGCCAGCAGAGATACTCCCTGCAACCATCATTTTGTAAATAGGCTCACCCCAGCGCGAGTGGTTTGTGCACAGACTTGCACATACCAGGCAACAGTGTTTGTAGCAAGGGGGGTTTCAAAGGGAGACAAGCCAACACGAGGAGCAAGGAGTGACAAAGAAAGACCCCTCTCCACTTTCCAGAAAGCACTTTACTGTTCAAGCACTTAAGAGGCAGAGGTTCTTTCACTCTTGTAAGTCCCAGCATCTTTTAAAAAAATATATATTGAGCAGAATGAGGAAGCCTGGCTGTGGATATTTATTAGCTTAATGAAAGAAAATGCTGGGATATGTATGGGCACCAAAGCTTGACCTTAGGAACCCACATGTGAAAATATCAGCTTCTATTGAATATTTTTCCCAAAGCCGGTGGTGAGAGCTATTTCTCAGCAAGGTACAGAGTAAGTCTAGTTTTCTGTTGATTGACAAATTCTTTCTGTGCTCAAAGGTGAAACCTGCAAAATAGTCCACGTGGCACAGTGCCCATATTGGCTGGGCTGGCTTGCAGCCACACCACTCTCTCTCCGCTTTCCAAAAGTCTTCTGCGCCCATACACCCAGGCCTGGGAGTCAGAGCATTTGCTGCGTGAAAGCAACAGCCTTCTAGTTCTACCCTGGGGTTTGCACGATCCCCGCATGCTTAGGTATGCAAAGGGAAGGAGGGACTGTAGCTAGGCAGGACAACACTAGAAGATGGTTTAGGTTTCTTGCTTTCTGCTCTACACCACTGGCAGGAGGCCATTTTTTTACCCTTTCCCTCTTGTAGCTCTTGCCAGCGGATACTGATGGGGGTCCATAGGGAGCATGGAGCACAATAACACCAAACCAGTGACTTTTGCCATTGAGTTTCCGTTCTCCAGCGCAGACTTCAGCAAAGATCAGCAGTGAGAGCTTATCTCCTGAGCAAACCAAGATTTGGTTCTTCAGAATCCCACCATGACTTCATTCAATGTTTTCTTCTTCTTCTTAAAATAGCCAGTATATTCCTGTGCTCTAACCTTTCTCCATCCCCAACAGGTCTTTTTTAGGGGCATCACGGTCAATACAGTGCGAGGATTCCCAGTGAGTTCAGCCATGTTTCTTGGCTATGAACTTTCCCTCAAAGCAATGAAAAGAGACCAAACTGAGACCAATCCTTAACTTCCAGGTCAGCGCATAAAGACCCTCTAGCTTTATTAAAATTAGAGAATTAATTTTTGAATCAAATGGAGTCACAATTGTATAGATCCTCTGAAAGTCAGATAACTCACATGGGTACTTACATCTGAATAGTCAAACACTTTTCAAATTTGGGTCTGTGGGATCTGGAGCAGACAATAGATGTGCCGATGGATTTTGGTTTCATTCCAGATCTGGAATTTCACTGCAATCTGTTCTGATTGTTGTGATTGTTTTGATTAGTATGAATCAGAAAAGAAAATTTGAAAGGAGAATATTCTCCAACATTTTATAAGTTTTGAAATACCATTCTCCCTAAAGTCCCTGCACAGTATCCTTTCCTCCCTTGATCCATCCACAAAGACCTGAAATTAAGCCCTTTCAAAGTGTCTTGACTATCAGCTCACAGTTTTACTCTTTCCCTCATAAACCTAGGGTTGCATAAAGGAGCAGCATTAAAAATATCTGATTAAAAAACTTTTTAAGCGGTTAAATACTCAAAATTATTCTTGCTGGTCTTTGCTGTTTTCTGCAGTACTTCATAAACCTCCTTCTTTCTTATTTCAAAAGTGTTGCCAAGAAGACCTGAAAGTCTCCTACTTTCCTGAGCCAAATCAGCAGTGTGGTGTTGGTGAGGGCTCAGCTGCTCTGACCGAAGACTCCTGTCCTGCACCTACAGCATCTGCTTTCTCTTCTACCACAGACTTAGTCCCTGGAGGACTCCGAAAACTGCACCAGCTCAATCAAATCCAAAGACTATTTTCTTATAGAATCTTTCACTCTGTTGTCTAAGAGCACCTTAATAATTCCCATGGTTGGGCTTTTTCACTGATGACATTTTTCCCATTGAGCCGAGGGAACAACTCACTTCCCTTACCCACACGAATGAGATGATACACCCAAACCCAGCCCACCCAACACCAGCTGACGGAGCGTCTTTTGTACAACACTGCATATAAAGCTCATCTTTCTTGTGAACAAGGAAAGGAGGAGGTGTTGTGAGTGTGCAGGTGCTTCTTGTGTAGGAAGGCCTAGATTCCCACCAAATCCTAGCTTGCTTTCACGATCAAAGAAATGCATGACTCCACCCGTATGAACGGATACTTGTGTTTTACATCACAGAATTCTCCAGTCTGGCATAATTTAACACATTATCATGAAAAAATGCAAAGGGCTTCAACAGCTTCAGTTTGTTATCCAAGGTATAAACAGAATTGGGATACAGGAGGATGTTAAAATTCAGAGACTAAGCTGCTCTTTTTCTTCAGAAAAAAATAAAACAATTCTGCATTTCCTATAGATGGCTGCCTATTAATTTACCTAACTTGCCTTGTGTAGCCCTCCAGGGACCTACTAGAGGTATCTTGTTAGACCTTCTGATCTCCCTGACATGATAGTCCAGCTTGCCAACTGCCAAACCCTGCAGCCATCACTTTGCAGCCTTGAGAGACCATCACCAAAGGAAGTCTCTTCAAAGGATGCAGAGTTTACCCCAAACTATTCATTAAAATACATGGGCCAGCTTCAGACCTCCAGCTCTTTGCTGCAATCCCACTGAGACAGCTGGGGCAGACCCAGGTCTCTCTTTGGTCTACCTCAGTCTTTCAATTATTCCAAGGTCTTTTACATCATGATTATTTCTGTTTATGCTGTTAAATATCTCCATGCTTTATTTTCTAAGCATGGAGCTTCTGATGCCAAAACCCAGGAAGAACCAGCTCTGCTGGGACACGAGGATTCTGGTGGCACTGGCAGGAGAGGCTGAGGGGTAACAGCCTCACATGCAAAGAGACATGTGGCATGGGGGAACAGTCTGAGACAACACTGTCCTCTGGGAAATGTATGGTTCTTCCCCATCTTCCTCTGGAGGAGAAGAGCTCTGGGGAAAAAAGCCCAGCAACGGCAGTTTTAGTAGATGCCCTCAGTAAAGGTTTCTGAAGACAACCTGGAGCAGCTGTCCAGCTTTCCTCCGTAAAAGGAGGATAAGGAAAGAGAAACTCCTACATCCTCTTCCCTGGACGAATGGAGGAATTGGTGACAAGACTTGAAGACCTTAGTGGAAAGTGCCTGAAAACTTGGGTCTGGAGCAGTACTCAGAAATGGGTCCCCAACTTTGGGCTCCTCTTCACTGGGGCCCAAATTAAAACCAGGCGTGTGGCTTCCCCCCAAAACTGGCCTTAAAAAGTGGGGGAAACAGCTGGTGTTGCTTCATCTCAGGACTTGCAGGCATGGAGGCTCACAGTGCCTTTGATCTTGGCAAGGACACAGGGAACTGTTTTTGATAAACAGTATGGATAAAATTGATGAGCCTTCACACAAGTATTTGTTGCTGGCTGCATTTAAGGATTCATCCTTTTCATGTTACCTATTTTAAGGCATATAGGTAAAATATGTTCTTTAGATACAAAATATCATATGTCTCCAGGGATAATGCTTGGGAGACTGTTTTTTCAGTGCAAATAAATGGTGATGCTTATCTGCCTGCATTATGTAAAATGGACCATGAGTAATTAAAATGATGAGGTTTGCAACAAGCTGTGTATCTGCATGATCCTGCCCTCACGGCACCCAGGTTTGATCTGTTCAGTGCCTCCCTGGGTGTAAAGCCCTGAGACCCACATTGGAGTTGCATGGTGATTTTTCCTGATATTCTTCATCCAATTCAAACAGTTTTGAGACGGATGCCCAGGATTTACTTGGACAAAACTCTCGTGTAACACACACCTGCCAGAAGGAGCTGTCAGGGAGAGCTGTGGACTACGCAGTGTAGAAAGGGAGCAGAGGACAGAAAGCTTTTGATATAAAAAAATGCAAAGCAAGTGGGAAGTGAATAAAAAGTTTCGGCCACATGATGGCATCCTCGTCCATGGCCGTGTGCCACTCGCTGGAGCTGCCAGGCAATCTTCTGTCTTGCTTCATTCAACTCTGAGTCCAGATTTGCTGCCAGACTGGTACACGCTCCCTTCCAAACAGGCAGCCCCACACTGGGCAGTGGGCAGGTGATTTTGGGGTGACACAGGGTCAGGCACAGCAGGATTGGGACAAGCAGCTTTTGAGGCACAGCACTTTGTGGTACGGTTGTACCCATTGCTGTGATCGATCACAGCAGATCCCTGCACATGGAGCTCGATAAATAATTTAGTCTTGCTTTTGAATTAGGGAGTGCATGGCTGTGTCACTGAGGAAAAAGGTCCAGCGGTGGGGTTGGGTGACACTGCAGGGGGTCAGCTCCATGTCTCAAAGATGAGGGATGGCAATTACAATTTATGCACACAGAGACTCGACAGGTCTGTGTCTTGTGAATTATTTTCTTTATGATATAGCAAATGCATTAATTTTTAGAGTTAATATCAATATCATTATCCATTGATAGAAATTAAGATCTCTAGGGAATCCTTTTTGGGGACCTGGTGATGGGAATTTAAAACAGTGCCTTGCCTGGCAGGCAAACAGCCATACATACAGCTGATTCAAATCCCTTGTATGGGGCAGTGATTGCATATGTTGGTGATTTTTTTCCCTGAATTACACAAAGGAAAAATGCCCCGTGTCAGCGGAACTCAGGAGACGGACCTGCTCCTCCATCAGTGCTGTGGCCATAGTGACCTGCCGTCGGTGGCACGTTCCCCAGCACCATGCACACTGGAGTGGGAGAAGCCATCTCCTTGATAGCTTGTTCACAGATGCTCACAAAGCTCCACATTTCTGAGATAAATGCAGTAAATCCTGAAATTGGTAAAAAATGAGAAGGGAAGCAGAAGGACCAGGGCTACCTACTTTTATGCTTTTCTTGCCTGGAATATGAAAGCATACTCAGACCTGTCATGCCTCAAATAAATCTGTAATTGCCTGACTTTCATGTTGCTGGTGGTGTTCCAGCTCTTACAACACTCTATATTACTTAATGAGATGCTGGCTGTGTAGCTGTTTTTCCCAATTTATACATTTTGTAGTGCTATGGAAGGAAAAAAAGGTAACAGCAGCTTATTTCCCCATTTGAAAAAAAAAAGAACAAACAGGAACAAATTTCCAGCCAGGGGGCAAGGAGGCGGGTCACCTCACCTCCCTGTTTCTGCATCCTCACTGCTGCTGGGCACCTATAATGTCCTTAAGTCCTTCTCTCAGGCAGGGTGCAGCTGACATCCCATGCAGAAGCTCACCCCCAGTGGTTTTAGTGCCTGCTGAAGACCTGTCTGTGATGGCTCCAGGCCAGGCTGAGATTTTCTCACGCCTCGGGAGTCCCTGCCTGGCGTGTCTGCATGTCAGGGGAAGGTGAGATCACAGTCCTCATCTTCGTTTCTCTTTTTCTGTTGTACTCTGAGACAGAGGAGTAGGTCACATCTTTGCAGGCATTAAGATATATCTCCTTGGTTTATCTGAAGTTCTTTGTTTTGTCATAGAGGTTTTTACAGTAAAGATTTCTCTCCTAGACATTGCATTCATGTAAGCCAAGAAGGCCAATGCCTGTCTTGTACCCGTGAAGAAAAAGGTCAAGTGTGGAGTCAGAAGAAATGGTGAGATCCAAGGATACAAGTGGGAAGAAGTTCAAGTCGCTAAATTGAATAGAAACTGCACAAGAACAGCTTCCTTTCTCTAAAGCCATCTTCTTCCTATATATGCTCCTATAGTGTTGCATAGACTGATCACTGACAACTTAGATAAGTAGTATGTAAAGTATCTTTCCAGAGATAAGCTCCAAAAAGAATTAAGCCATGCTGTGAGGGGAAATTTAAGTAGTTACACTGATTTGCAAAGCAGTTTTCCTGAACTGTAGATCCTGCGACAGCTCCAGAATCAGACACTGGTGGAACAACCAATCTGTTCAGAGCCACACATGCAGCAGAAGGAGACTATCTTTTTAAGGGGGTGTCAGAGGTCCCATATGATTTTTCACTGTAAGATATAAAACGCTGGATACATCAAGAAATCTTTTCTTAGTATAAGTGAAATACAAAGGCTACTGGACTGCAGAACATCAAATC